GGTTTCTGTGAGTTGCAGACAAGTTCACCAAATGACCAACATCAGAGCCCAGTTAACATTTTACAGCAGTTTTTATTTTGAACATATTTTCATATACAAACCAGTGACTGAGAAAATGGCTCATTTGAAGCTGTACTCTACATGTACAACATCTTGATTGATTTGTTTTTTCACCCAGGATTACAGTTTCCAGTAAACTGGAATTTGCAGGACATTTCTTTTCCCTCAGTGTTGGATGGTTAACTCATTATTTCAAACAGTCCTACAGTACTGCACTAATTTCCTGCTAAACACTGGACTACTGTAAATATCTGGACATGATACATCACATTGTAGTCGAGCATGTCCACACAATTGGGGAAAACTACATACAGTACAAGCCATTCAATTCAAACAAGAGCAAACTGGCCAAAATCAATTAGTTATTCCTAAAATGGACATCTAGAACCAAGTTTGACTGTTATTATATAACCAAGATGGTTTACTTTGGACACTTATGTTTGCAATCTTACTTCTGAAGTGTACAATAACTTGAATCTAACGGACAGGCATTATATTTAATGGTCTGTATCACTCTACCAGCTTTGCCCTGAAATGCACAAAATTGATTCCCCAACCACACTTATCAAAAAGGAGCACTCAAACTCACGCTGCACAGTAACTTTTAAGACTGAATATATATTTTGTTTATTATAAGCATTTGTAATTTTACATCCAATGTTAAAATCGACAACATTGTGACAACCAGCTTTGTTTCTCCGCCGTCCCTTCCCTCCCTGTTCCCCCAAAAAACAAGCTTGTTAAAATAACATTTTTCAAGACCTTTTTAAAGCAAAGGCACATTTGTCAATACGTGTTTTAAAAAGGAAAAATAAAGGCAGGCCAGCAAGCAGAGTCAGTCTGGGAAGCAGAGAAGAAGAAGTGAGGCTTCCACGACAGCTCCAGTGCCTTCAGTACCCCACATTTCTGGAACAACACAACACAAAACCTGACTTGGATTAAAGGGCCCGGACCCGGTTCGTTTGAGGGGGAAGGTCCAGGGCCGGAGGGATTTGGGATGAGCGCGAAGTAACAGGGCAGAAGACCGGCTTGAAACCTCATTTCTCCACTCCACACTCTTTAACACTTGTCCTGAGCCTCCTAGCTACGGAGGTTGACTTTTAGTCTGTCTGGGGGGGTGAGGGGTGGGGGACGCTGTGGCCGGTCACACCCAGGCCTGCCTGGATGGTAGATGGGGGACTAGGGAGCAGTTCTCCTCCTGACTGCCCTCCCTGCCGACCCTTTCTATGGAGAGTCATGGCCCGTTTGAGGCTAGCGGCTACATAGTCTACCAGTCCGACATGAAACCAGAGGGCTGTGAGAGGTGGGACTGGACCCATGCCTGAAGGTCCTTCCCCTCCCGTGTCTCTATTGGTCCCTGATCATGGGAGGCTGAGTCACAGAGCGGGGCTGCAGGGAGAGACGCAGCTCCACGTCATACAAACACTTTGGCGAGAGCGTCTGCCCCGGCGCTGGCGATGTAGCATTTAGTCGGATGAAACGCCACATCGTGGATCGACTCCTCAAACTTCTTTCTGTGGGCCGTGAACTCCTGGATGCAGGTTTTACTCTCCAGGTTCCACAGACGGATAGAGCAGTCGTGACCTGTAGAGGAGACGACGAGTTACAAGTGGTACAAAAGGGAACAATCATCTCAAAAATGATCCTTAAGACGTCCGCATGAACCAGTTTCTCCTAAAAGGAAGACCTACAACTACTACAACTATAACTGAACACATATTGTACTTTCACATATGAGATACTTCCTGCTAATTCCGTTTAAGATAATGAAAGTGAAGTTTCAAGTCACAGTGGTCAGGGCAACAAAAAATCCCCCACCACAACAAGAAAACAATTACAATGATACACAGTCATTGTTGAGTAAAGATTTCACATGTCCGCCTACACAGAGCACTGAGTCACAGTTACGGCCAGATTGAGTCTGAGGCAAACAATCAATCAATGAACTAATGCAGTGTATCTCAAACTTTTTACTCCACGTACCGCCTTAGAAAATATTAAGCTCTCTGAGAACTACCATTATGACAGAGATTTAAAATACAGTGGTGTAGGCTGTATGGACAGTTCACACTGGTGGCAGGTTGAATCTCGACCGTATCAAGAACTAGAGTTAGGAGGAAAAGAGGTTTGCAGTATTTTTGAATCATTCCTTTTAACCTCTACTTATTAGCTTTCCCTCACAGTTTATCTTGTGACTAATCATGGATGTATGTGCGCGCTATATTCATGAGCGTAACTATGTAGCAGCCTGTATTAAAAAAAAATATTACAGAAAAACTATTTTAAATGACATTTTCAGTGATCAAACTTTTGAAGTATTATATGTTTTTAAAATAACTTGTTTCATTAAAAGAAAAGGAAAAATGTATTTTTTATTCCACTAGTACCACTAGAGGCAGCTCACATACTGCCACCATATTTTGAGAAGCAGTGAACTAACCTATAAAGGGGAAACAGTTAATGTTAGACTTTGCACAAGGAGGCACTGGTTAAGAACTACTTACTGCCTGACATGAGATAAAGTCCATTAGGGTCTACGGCTAAGCTCGTAACAGCATCCAGGTGAGCCACCATGGAGTGAATCAGCTTCCCGCTGTTGTTGTCAAAGAACTTGATGTGTCTGTCCTCCTGCGCAGTGATGGTGATGGGAAGAGTCGGGTGGCTGAGGACCTTGTTGATCTGACAGGGAGTGCCTGGTTAAAAACAGACAAGCACACAGCAGGAGAGGAAAGTCAGACCAATTGAAATGGCTTAGTAGCTTAACTTTTTAAGCAACACCTGACCTGAGTCAGTTTGTACTGGATGGAGACTGTGAGGAGCGCTTGCTGGTAAACAACTAAGTAAGACTGGATATTAAACAACAGGTTTGTTCGAGATGAACTGCACTCAGGATGTACAGGAAGTCACAGAAATGTTCACATCCTGTTAGATCATCTTTAAGCTAGTTTTCAGACCGTGTTCGGATACATAAATAACCTTTATTATTATTATTATTATACACAAGATATGTTTGTTAAACCTTCAATGCACAACATGAGAGATGAAACAGCTACAATCTAGAGTTAAATATTAAAGTAATAATTGGGAAAACGTGGTGTTTGTGGTGAGCCAGCTCTTTGATCAGGTGACAGCCAGGCGTTTCCCTTCATGCCCTGGGTCTCGCAGTCGGTGAAGTGAAGACTGCGGCGCCTGGCTCTATAAACTGTGGTCGCCTTGATCTCGTGAGGTTATCGTCGCCCACGTGTTCATGACGTCAGAGCAAGTTGGCATCATGTCAGACGCAAATTTAACCAGCATGCATTGTGTGGCGATTCTGTGCATGCCTGGCTCATCTCCATCCTTATTGTTTAGTATAATATCATTACACTAATGATTTACTTTCCTACAGCTGCCACTAGATGTTACTCTTGAGCCATATTTTCTGATACGACTCTACTTTAAAATAATTATCGACTTCAACAAGTGTTGTACCTGAATGCGTTTTATAATTAAATCAGTGAAGAATTTTACTGATCAGAGGACTAAATGCTAAGTGGACTAAGTGCTTTTCAGTTCCTACCCGGCTCCAAATTGGACTCCAGATTGAGGACCAGCTGGCGGGTCTCCATGTTGAAGAGGCCAATCTGCCCATTCGTGAAGGATGTGACCAGGTGGGCCGGTTCACTGCACACCAGGTCTACTGAGGAGGGAACTCCGAACTCTTGTAACACAGAAAGACAGATGTTTATGTTATTTTACCTATTTAGTTAAAGCTAATATTTAGAAAAAAAAAATGTCATGCTACAAGCTTGAAGTCAGTACTTTTGTCTTCGTTGAACACTGTGAGGGCTGGGGAGATTGTGTTAGCGTCCCACAGTCTCACGGTCCCGTCTGCAGAGCAGGAAAGGAGGCGCTGGTGTGCGCTGCTGTACACCAAACCCCAAACTGAGTCGGTGTGTCCACACAACGCTCCGCGCAGCATCGATGGGTCTGCCACAGAAAACACAAGTCAGTTACACCATGATCTGATCAGGCAGTCTTCAGATTCAAACAAAAAACGCATGACGCTGTTACCGTATGAGTCGTAGGGGTCGATGTTGGGATTGGGGGTGTTCCAGCACTGTATAGTCCCGTCAACCCCTCCGCTGAAACACTGCTCCCCTGTACTGCTCATCACCACGCTCAGCACAGCCCCCCTGTGGTTCAAATGACGACGAATGATCAGTACTTCTTGTCTACCAAACCAACCCTAAAACATACATTTTATTAATGTGCAGTGTTTTTACCTGTGGGCCCTGAAAGTGTAGATCGGCTCCACATCTAAAGATGCACTCCTGTGGAAAAACAATGTGTTCAACAATGAGTCGTACAATAAACAGCAAACTTAAAATGTGTTGATGATTGGTGTTAAATTGTACAAAGTCATACATTGATGTACAATTTGCTGCTATAGTTGCACACACTGTTTTATTGCCTTATTCATAATACCCCATATATAAACTCCAAAGTGACTTCAGCCTCTAAAAATAAACACACCACATCACT